AGATTGTACCTCTGCCTCTGTTGCAACGAATCCTTCTTCTCAGGAGGATCCTTGGATGCAGATGACTTACGGTCCCAGGGTCGCTTGTGAGAGTGTGATGACTCAGGTGCTCTCACCGCAAGGTCTATGGTTGAAGTCTGGAAACCCTCGACTGTATCCTGCTTGACTTTGACTATCACATTTCTGAGCTTGCCATTGAAAGTTGTGGTCGTTGAACTTCCTGATCTGGCTAGATACGGCCCTTGACCTAATTTTAAATAGGAGCTGTTGTCGCTGTAGTCTCAATTACTGTGAGGAAGTCCAGACTTGGGATGCTAGTAAGTCTTCCTGCATCTTAACGACTGTGTCAAGGAGGCTGTGCATTAGTCCGGCTTGATCGGTCGTAATATACTTTACCACAAAAGAAACGTCACCATGGATAGATATATGAGAAACCTTATTTGTCCAAACACTGTAAACATACTTTGAGACATATTAAAAAGATGAAACTTGGCAAAACTGATCATCAAGGTTGAAATTAAAGTGTCAAATGTTCTTAAAGTGAAACACAACACCAGTCCCTGTGAAACTGGCATCACAAGTCAGTATCTCGTGTGTCCACCATGTGCATTGATGACTGCCGTGCAACGTCGATGCATAGAATCGATGAGGCGGTTGATGAAGGCCATAGGCACTTGAGCCCACACTCTGAGGAACGCCTGATGCAGTTCAGCTGCAGTTGTCGGCCTTGGTCAGACGTCATTCAGCCGTCTTTGAATCTCTTCCCACAGGTGCTCAATGGGATTTAAATCAGGCCAGTGCATGGTTCTAATGCCATTCTGCTGGAGGAAGTCTCTTGTTGCGCTCGCAGTGTGAGCACGGGCATTATCATGCTGAAACACGTGGTTGCAGCGACGTGCCAAATGAGGTATGGCGTGTGGTCTCAAGACCTGATCAATGTACCGAGCTACTGTGACACTATTGCCTCTCACTGGACCGATGTTCTGGAAGACCACAGGGCCGACCCTCTGTGCAAGACCAATTCCACCTCACATCATGATGCACGGACTACCCAACGAGTCTCTCTCAACAACGTCGCGGCCATCTGCTATTGAGATACAGTAATGGCTCTCGTCTGAGAAGAGGACTCTTCTCCACTGCTGGTGGCGCCAATGCTGGTGCTGTGTTGCTGACTGAAGACAGTCCCGGTGATGACGTGGTGTCAGAATGGGTCCTCGGTTTGGCCTGTATCAGTGGAAGTGTCTGCTCGTCAATCATCGACACACGGTGTCCGCACTAATGTGTTGCTGGTGTGTCCCCATGGTCTGTGGAGCAGTTTCCACAGCAGTAACAAAGCGATCTTAAAGATGATGTCGCACAATCTGGTGGTCTGGCACCGTTGCTGGAGCCTGTATATGATCCTTACGGGAACTTGAAATCCATTGGCTACTTGCCGGGTTGTTTGTCCAGTTTGCAATCGTCCAAGGGCCTGATTTCTTGTCAATCTTGGCATGTGGTAGCATTTCAGTAACAAATGAATGTTATCCGATCTGGGTGGATTTTTATAGGGCAAGAAATGGGGGAGCGCATGTGCATTTCTATTTGCATATGCATCGGGTTATCATGGCCGTTGCCGTGATGCCTTTGGGCGATCGTTTTTTTTGTCATCTGCTTTGTTTTTTATCATCAAATTTCATTTTTCTGGACAAGGAAATGTTAAATTTTAGAAGCTTTGACAAAAAATACCCAGATATTTTAATAACAACTTTTCATACAATGTTACTTGGGGTGACTTTTCTTTGGCGGTTCAGTATAGTCATGGGTGTTTCCGGCACAATTCCTTCAGTAGAGGCAGTATGATGTGTCTGATTCCAGCAACAAACCAGTTTATACTGAACAACAAAAGTTCCTTTGACATTGAATAAAATTTAATGCAAAGTTATGTTTTTTACCAAATCTGAAACAATTTCGGTTTGCAACAGATAAAAGTCCCCTGTAAGTGTTCAAATGGTTTAATTTGCCATACTGACTTCAGAAAATGCGTGATTTCATAAAAAAAAACATGAACACGCCAAAACGTCAATTTACAAATTTACAAAGGTGTGTGTCCACCTCTGGTTGCGATGCAAGCAACACATCTTCATCTCATTGAATGGACCAGGCGTCGCAAAAAGTCCTGTGGGATATCTGTCCATATCTGCTGGAGCATGTTTCGAAGTTCCTGGACTGTCTGTGGAACTCGTGGTTGACGTCGAAGGCCATCTTCTTCCATGACACAATGATTGATGTAACGTTCACCTCGACGTCGGTACACCTGAATCCGTCCATCGCTGTGGCTGAGGTGAAAACGAGACTCATCAGTGAATAGAACTTGTCCCCACTGCATTGCCGTCCAGCATAGGCACTGTCTGCACCATGGTAGACGTGCTTGACAGTGGTTTCCCGTCAAAATGGGACGTCTGGCGGGTCTTCTGGCGACAATCCCTGCACATCTGAGGCGCCGACCTACGGTTTGTGAAGATATTCATTGAAGGCCAGGGATGCTTCTTGTAGTCACTGTTGCTGGCTGGAATCGATTTCGTATGTGTGTTGTTCAAATCCAGTTGTCTTGTCGATTATTGGTTAAGCGTGGCCTGCTACTCCGAGGATTGTCTCTGACTGCATTTGTCTGTTGCCAACATTGCCATAAACACCAAATGGTGTTTCTGTGGACGTTAAATTGTCTTGCAACATCACATTGACTCGATCCTGCTTCAAACATATCAATGGCTTGCAGACGCTCATTTTCGGACAGGCGTGGCATTTCGTAATGTTGAATAATTGCGTAATTTTGTTGTTTTTCTGAGTGGTTGTTGTCAGCACAATGCTAAACAATGCATATGGAATCCCGTTTACGCACGTTTTAATACCCATTCTTGGGTAGTGAAAAGCATGGGGCTTGCATAAAAGTCATCTTTTGCATGGAATGCATGATTTTCTGTAGCAATTGCATTTTTGTGACTTGATTCCATACATGTACTACAATATTGAAAACCAAACTTTACTTGTTTGAAAAATACACTAAAATATTGGTATCACATGAACTTTTGTTGTTGAGTATATAATATGCCCTGATATCCATGCAGCATCAAGCAACCAATGCTAAATCCTTGAAACATGATGCTGATGATGTAACGTTCATGACATCTTCATCTAAGTGTTGGAACTCGGGAAGGGTAGCACCGTGCGTCTTGTATAATTTTGGTTTCATAGGTGGAAGACGTAGACGTTTATCTTGCTTGAATCTATGGATGTTATCCGTTGATTGTTCTACAACCTTGCCCACGTAGCTGGGCCAAGCTAATGTATGATGAATTTGCTTAGATAGAGCAGGCACATGACGTCCCCCTTATTCCGGCATCTGGGGTAGTGAATCCTCTGTCACATATGGTCGAAGTGTAGGCACAATGTGGTACAGCTCTTCGATAAGTTCAACAAAAGTGTAGATTCCGCTGTAATCTCATTGTGGTGAGTTGTCAAGCTCCTCCAAACCCTCCGATTCCGGCTCTGAGTAGCCTTGGGTATCTCCTGTGGGGGGTGGATAATCATATCCCTCAGCTTCTGCCCCTTAAGGCTCATCATCCTCCGGTGACCATGACTCCGGTATGATATGCCTCCGTGTGGCTTGTAGCCAGTGGGTAATGGTAGCCATGCCGTGGCTGTCGTCAGGGCTGGCTGGCTGGCTGGCTGGGTATTCCTATTGTAAACAGCACACAACGGGCGAGTATAAGAACACGTCTTGTTTATTTCAATTCAGACTAAAAACTAACTGTAATACATCTGTTACTCCCTTGACAACCATACATCAATATCCTTGCAATATTACCTAACATATTCTATCACTTACCCTAAAATCTATCTCTTAGCAACTTCCGAATCCATTCATTCATCTAACTATTTACATTCGATACACTTCCGGAGAAGAAACTGACTTCTCAGTGATGATTTTATCTACTTTTGCTTTTGCTTTTGCCGCCTCTCTTCTCTTGGCCTTAGTTGCGGCCTCTGACATCTTGGAGAATATCTCTTCTGATGTACGGGTGCATTTCTCACATCTCTTCTCCATTGTGCAGGTCTTCCCTCTGCACTTCGTGCAGTTTACATGAGGATCTCCCATAATCATAAATCGACCACACTTCTTACACCCAGGGTTAATGGGAAAATTCGTGGCGACCTCACAAACCCCAACACCAACTCACGTGCATGTAGTCTCTTTTAGCAACACTATTACTTTAAATATATATTTATATGTCAGTTATTAAAGTAAACTTATTAGAATAATGTTAGTTTAATGTGATCTTCTACCAGGTGCTAGATTGTCACTACTTCAAGAGTGGTTGTGTAACGTCAATGTGGCAGGTTATGAGACTACTTGCCGGCAACTAATTGTGTGTAATTGACAGTGAAGAGGACGTCTGTTGAAAATCTGAAACTTTCAGTTAGTGTGATTGAAGCCAAAATACAGGATTTATGGCAGATATGTAATAGAGGTAGAAGTTTCGTAAGAATTTTTAAACATTTTATGTTTGCTTTTGTCTTAACCTCTGTATGTTTGAAAATGCTTGATATTTTAATGTGACGATTACTGTGCAAAATATTGGTTACAATGTCCCTTGTTTAAAAAGGCACCGACCGTATGCTAGCACCTTATGCTAGAATTAATCCAGCAGGCAGGGCTAAGAAGAGTAAAAACAATTCAGCAGGCTAAAGGTTAAATACAAATGGATAGTAACTCAATTTCAAGGGCACTAACTACAATGTTTAGACATTCACCAAGAATGGACACCAGGCAGCAAAGTCTGGACTCCCAGGTAAGGGCAGGTAAGTAACAACAATGTATTAGCATGTTCAAATTGAAAAGTTTTCAGTTCACTTAAGAAAATACAAAAGTGTGACAGTCTAGTGGCCTTTGAGGACTGCACTGGTAAATTATCCTTCCAAAATATAGGTAAATTCTTAGAGACATGGACATATGTACTCACCATGGTGAAGATGTGTAGCTGCAGTATTTCCTGAAGTTTCACGCGATGAAAGACAAAAACATCGTATGTAGCACAGACACCAAGAACTGCAATGGCCTGTTCTTTTGTCAGTAGACTTGCCACGGTGAATACACAAACACTGACCACATACAGCCAACGATGGGAGGCCATGTGGGCGGAAGTTCGGTATTCCACATATTTCATGTAACTCAGGAATGTAAGAAGAAAGAAGAGACATGCACCAATGTCAGCCCGACCAACAATGCCAGCAACAGCTTCAGTGTGTATGGGGTGGGCTGCAAACAACAGTCCTGCTACATAGGTTGCAAATTTCCTCTTCAGCACCTTTTGCGCTAGACAGGTGAAGACTGCTGTGACCATTGCATGCAGGAGGACATTACCCAAGTGGTAGCCCCAGGGATTTAGCTTTCCCAAGGCATAGTTGAATCTGAAGGACAGGACACAGAGTGGTCGGTAGGACTTGTGTGAGCCACTATGTGTGAGAGGTGTCCCCCAGAAGTCATCAAAGAAAATATTCACCAAGGGTGTTTCTGGTAACAAGTCTTGGTTCTTCTGGATTGCCCGACTGAAACATACAATAAGTTACTATCTCAATTAGTACTGATTCATACAACATGTACAATGCAATAGGAGTATAATGCATTTTGATACTCTCTGAAACAATACACGTACTGTACTGTTACAAAACCATACAAGCCTCATGACATGTTAACTTCAATGAAAAATAATTGTAAAAGACTATTTCCTGTAGAAAGTTGTCAAGTTTTCATTATCATACTGTGTATCATTTGGCGACCTCACCTTTGAGATAATTATCACACTGCAATCGTTACAGCCCCAATACAACCTTCTATGAGAAGCCTTGATAATGTTGAACCAATGTAGTTGTTACATGTCTAGTGAAATAGACTACATATTGTATTTGTGGTGTATGATGAAAAAGCTTTTGTAACATGACCATGATGACTTGTACACAATGTTAACAATCCATGTGATCTTACCAAATGATCTAACTTGAGTAAATCCAGTTAATTACCTTTTGTTTGACAGCCATCAGCAAATGTTTAACAGACAGACAGATTTATTTGTATAAGGCCATTTGACCCATTTTTACAAAATACATTTACATTATATTTATCAAAGAGTTACCTAATTGATACTTTTTTTTGTGTTGAGAACACGCACATTAGAAATTTTGCAAAATTTATCATTGTATCGTTGTTGGATAGTTGACAGAGTCTTTCTAAACAAAAATAATTATGATTAAGTAACTGTCTTTGGGATATACATTTCCTGCCGACTTGCATAAAGAGGACAGTTGTATATAACATAAAGTTCATCCTCAATTACATGTTTAAAATATATATTCATATTTACACAAAACGGAGCAATATTACGTAAATAAATAGACAGTTAATTCACAATGTGATTACATCGGATCAGCCTAATAGAATCCCATGATCTATAATCTTTACATGTTATTAGGGTTGTGACAGATTCCAAAGGACTGGAGTTCAAATGAAACTTGCAAGCTCCTCACAGTGATACTGTCACTGCCAAAGTCGTAGCTCCCCTGTGCGAGGCAGCCTGCAACCATGCAACCTCCTGACCATTATGTTTACATGTCATATGTTGTTTAGTCATCTGGCAGTAAAAAATGTTAGTTTAAATTTGGTTACTGAATTCGATGATATAAAACAGAACTTGAGTGCAATACATAATCCTTCTACGCTTATTATTGAAGTCTTGTTTGGAGATGTACCGGTAGATGCCTTCGAAATATTACCAGGTCTATCAATTAAATGGCTCGAGAAACACCAACGTCAACGTTGCAGTATTATTTATATGGGAGCATCACCCGTTGCAACTCTTGAGGGGGTCCAAGTTAATAAAAGTGATAGCATTTCTGTTACTAAGATATTTATGCCGTATAATATACATTTAATAAGGTTGATGTATACTCTCAAAACATTGAAGCATGACCAATTAAAGACTATTATATGATATAATAATATACATTATGGGTTTATATCCGGCGCATCTGAAGCATCTGAAAAGATGGATACTGTTGATGGATTTCGATTACATCAAATAAGCGACATTAAACATAGAATAGAGAAGGAGAGGGAGTTGAGACTTGGATTCAATAAAAAGTATCGCAGAGCTGTGAATGCTCTCGACCGAGTTGACACCGTGCTTGTAACGGCTCGCATGGGACTCGGTGTAGCCTGTGTTGGTTTTACTATCAACTATTATCGCCGCGCCTACCATACTTGGCATGGAAATAGCGGCTGGAGTCTCAGGACTTGCAGGAATAGCCATAAAATTCATTTCTCGTAAGTTGCAAAAGAAAGCATTAAAACATGATAATATTCGGATACTCGCCAAAGCAAAGTTGAACAGCATTGAGGATCATATTTCAACAGCAATGGCTGATTGTAAGATATCCGAGGAGGAGTTTCATTTAGTACTGTCAAAACTCACCAAATACAACGTAATGAAGCAGGAGATTCGATCCAATTCTCGTAAGACCAGTGGTATTAGCGAAGACGAGAAAAAAAAGTTCATAGAACAGGGGAGGCAACAAGCGCGTCAATTATTCCGTGCCAAAACCAAAGAACTGGTTGGAGATTAAAAATAGATTGCTTGATCAGGTTGGATCACATTTAAACGAATGCTTACATAAGTATATAATAATGGAGAATTACAAACCAACAAAGGAAGAACTGGAAAAAGCTATCGAAGCATTTATGTTCAAGGACAAAATTATCAAATTGAGAGAATTACCACAAGGTATAAATTATATCAGTGATATCAAACCAACCAAATACGGTCATCAATTGTTTCTTTCCAATCAAGAAGAGCATATAGTCTGGTCTCCTAGTAAAATGAACGAAGAACTTAGTAAAAATGTTGAATATCACTTTGTTAAAAATAATGGTATACATATGAGTAAAATTAATAGAGAATATTTTCATTACAATTTAGTTTAATGTCATGATGATCGTTGAATCGAATCATCGTTTTTGCATAAATAATTCCCTCTGTAGTAGTGGTATTGTTATATAAATCTGACACCAGTGGAAGTGAGCCAGAACCATCATTACCTATACTACTGACATCTTTACCTCTTGACAGTTTGGAAGCACCTATGACAACAGCGAATCCCAGTCAATCTGTGATGCAGTATGTTCAAAAGACATCTTTATCTCTGGACAGTTTGGAAGCACCTATAACAACAGTGAATCTTGGTCAATCCATGATGCAGGATGTTCAAGAGACATCTTTACCTCTGGACAGTTTTCAAACACCTATGACACCAGTGAATCCAAAATAAATCCATGATGCAGGATGTTCAAGAGACATCTTCACCTCTGGACAGTTTTCAAACACTTATGACACCAGTGAATCCAAAACAAATCCATGATGCAGGATGTTCAAGAGACATCTTCACCTCTGGGCAGTTTTCAAAAACCTATGACATCAGTGAATCCGTGTGTGTGTGTGTGTGTGTGTGTGTGTATCCGTGTGTGTGTATCCGTGTGTGTGTGTGTGTGTGTGTGTGTGTGTGTGTGTGTGTGGTTTTGAACTATTTGGAACTTTAAGATGTGTATCCTTTGACACTAACTAGGTGGTAGGTGACAGCTATTGTTTTAGGTGGTTAGCCCCTGGTAATTAGGGTGCTGTCTAGACTCACTGAATACCTGAATACAGAGGTAATTAAGTGGTGTTGACAAGGTTGAAACATTGTTTCAATATAGATAACTATTGTAGGGGCCTGGTCCCGAACTTCTGATAAACCTTGATGTCTGGATGTAACTAAAAGAGTCAAAACACTTCTTTTCAATGAATAAATAGTTTTTTGATTCAAGTGGGTATGACAATACCTAATATGGATAACACAATGCTTCCAAATAAGTAGATCCCTCTGAGTTTTAAGGTTTATTTGTAAGGACCAGTATCAGGGCAAACTATTTATTGCCTGTAACTATAATGGTAGTTTACTGCTATATATATATAGATGGCTTCTTTATCTGAATAACTGTATAGTTACTAAGATAGCAATTTGTGTCTGTTTTCAAAAATGCAGTCTATTTATAGAAATGAATAATGTAAGGACAAGGGGAGCTTTGAGGCTGAATTATCTGCCCTTAGATTGAAACTGACCTGTAGACTGCCAAAGTCAGAATGACTCAGTATGGATCTCATCGTATTAATAGGTGTGAGAAAATGGTCACATGTCTGCGCATGAATACATCAGCGAAGATTACATAGTTCCTGATGTCAGAATTAACAGCAACTTTAATACATGTCTTGACATATCATCAAATACGATTGATTCTGGGTTCCTAAGCATGCTTAGTACGTAATTCATTAGATTAAATAAACTTTTTAACGCAAAAGGCTAGGCTTTAGCCAAATTCAGTAACTGCATTGCGACCTAAGCGAGCTGTCACAAAGTTAAAATGGCGGGCGTCAGCGAAATACATAGCTCAGTCCTGATCACAAATTCACACAAATATGGATAAATATCGAGCTGCCAAGGGATTGTGATCTCATAGTTGAAGAACGAAGGTGTGATGAATCTGTATCTGATGGTTAATTTGCATAACTGTAGGCTTAGAACAATGAATTCTGCAAAAGATACAGTGAATGGAACAATGTGGAAAATTCTTGAAAAAGTAAACAATATCGTTTTTGACAGGCATGTTATCGACATCGAAGCTTATGAGGTACTGACATATCCTAAACAATATGCGTAACATAATGGCATGGACATATGATTATTTTTACGAGATAACAGTATGCTATGAAGCTCTGATAGATTTCTTACCAAAACAAATTTCAAAACATTGAATTATGTGAAAACGAGTCTGGCAAAAATATTCTGGTACATACCTGGAAAACTAATTACAGTTTAAAAGATAATTATGATATAATTTGTCCACTGTCATATAACCATAAAAAGTACAACAGGGAAACATTTAAGAAATATTTCTAATTTTTAGAAGCTGTCATAACTTTCACATTTTACAATAAAGATACATTAATGTTTATATATTCTGGCCATCACACTATTGTATGTTCATGTGACAATGCATTTATGGTTTAATATTTAGAACATTGCACATGTTGCAATGCTTTTTTATTTTAATACCTTATTTATTAATGTATATTTAACTAATAACTACCAGTTACTAACAGTTATCAAACAATAGTTATCATTGTGAATAATTCTAAGAATACTACCTCTATTACGTCATTGCCATAAATTCCTGTTTATGCTCAGAACCACACTACAAATTTTTATAATCTAGTTGATGAGGATAACGGTTTGAAAGAAGTGAGGTGATTCCAACCTTGCGCATGCGCAGTGGCGCCCCTGGCGAGGGATAGGGTTTCCCTCACAACTATTTGATATGTTGGCAGTGAAGAGGACGTCTGTTGAAAATTTATAAAAATTTGTAGTGTGGTTCTCAGCATAAACAGGAATTTATGGCAATGATGTAATAGAGGTAGGGTATTCACAAGAATTATTTTAGTTTTAAACATTAAGCAGTATTA